AGGGAGAAGCAGCCTCTTTGCTGAGCCAGGAGCCTGATGTGGGACTCGATCCCAGGACTCTGGGATCATGACCTGAGCCGAAGGCAGACGCTTAACCATCTGAGCCACCCAGGCGTCCCTTAAACTATTCTTAATCTCCAAATAAAGACAATAACAGGGTCATATTTTGCCTAACTTGATACAGTTATCCAGTGTACAACTGAAAATGTGTTAACACATTTCCCAGAAGATGAGGTTAATTCTTTGAGTGATGTTTACACTTCTTAATATCCCTAAGTTAAATACTATGATGTAAACATAATAATTAAATATTATGCTATTGATCCAATACATCTTATGTTACATGATAAGGGAATAAGGAAGGGAAGGAAACAATATTTGCCCAATAATCACACACACACAAACATATTTATAACACAACAAGGAGGAAATATAATGATTACAGTCCTTGTTTTTCTTGCTGGTAATGTGAATAGCTGGTATTAGTAACTACCTTTTTCTACTACCCATTCTGTATTCCCTTTGCCTTCAGCAAGCACCTCAGCTGGTTGTGGCTTTTCGCCTGGTGGAATGACCCAAACCTTCATTCCTGAAGGATCTGGGCCATTAATAGCCTCTGCTGGTTTGGGTTGTTGTAATTTTCCATTGGTTTTAATAACAGGGCATGGTAATACTAAGAGGTGGCCTCAGGGATCTCCTGTATTCCAGACATACTCTTCCTTACCTCCACTGTGGCGAACCAGTCCAGTCTCCACTTGGTAGTCAACATCACTCACCCCAGCTAGCACAGTAACTCCCTCTTTGCTTGTTGACTCAGAAGCATGAGGAATCCAAAGTGACTGAGCGGCAGTCTTAAAATTTCATTTCAATGGAATAATTGTTGTGTCAGTGGAATAAATGTGAAAGCATTCCTCCCTCTGGAAAAGACTTCGAGGCCAGCAAATCATAAGGTCATGGGAACTGGAAGCAAAGATTTTGCTAGTGGGTCTTTAGGGGTAATAATGAGTGCTGCCACTACCATTCCACCCCTTGATTCCTGGATTTGTGAATCCTATTTGTGGGAGAAACGGCACCATATACTGGTTGTTGATTCACAGGATATATAAGTGTTCTGGAAAACCTTGCCCCAGCTCTACAAGGTATTGCCACCTAGTTGGCACTGTAACTGGATTTTCAAAAGCCATTCCCACCATTCTGTCAAATCAGCTACTTCATAATGTTGGGGAACATGTTAAGACTAGTGCTTGTGAATTCTTTGAGCATGGACCCAGTGCACCACTTCCTTTGCTATGAAGTGAGGTTTTTTTTTTATCACAAACAATGCTGTATGGAGTACCATGACAACAGATAAGGCATTTTGTAAGTCCACAGATGTTAGTTTTGGCAGTGACATTGCATGTGGGGACAGCAAATGCGTATCCAGAGTAAATGTCTATTCTAGTAAGAACCATACCCTTTCATTTTCGTGATGGGAGTGGTCTAATGTAATCAACCTCTTGCAAGGATGATGGCTGATCACCCTGGGGAATGGTGCCAGTTTAGAAACTCAGTGTTGATCTTTGCAGCTGACAGATGGGCACTCAGCAGGGGGCTGTAACAATGATGGCATTGATTAGTGGAATTCCATGTTACTGGGCCCTGCATATCCTCCATCCTTCTCACCATGACCACTTTGTTCATGAGCCCCATTGAATGATGACAGGGTGTTTGGGTGAAAAAACCGATAGTATCCACTTGATTATTAAAATTCTCCTTTGCTGAGGTTGCCCCTGAGTATTCACACGGGATCCAAATATCTTCACCTTTTTTTTCTCGTTCAGAGAAATCTGTCCACCTACCTCTTCCCCAGATTTCCTTCTCATCAATTTTGTTCCATACCATTTTTTCAGCCAACCATTGAACATAGCCCATGAATCAGTATGTAATTGCAAATCTGACCATTTGCCCTTTCGAATAAAATAAACAACTAGATGCACTGCTAAAAGTTCTTCCCATTGGGAGGATTTTCCTTCACCACTGTCTTTGAGTGATGTTCCAGAAGGGGACTGCAGTGCTCCAGCCTGTTCACTTTTGGGTGGTGCCTGCATATCATGCAGGACCATATGTAAACCAGGGCCTGAGTCTTCTCTTTTTCTGTTAGTTGATCATAGGGAGCTCCCATGAGGTCATAGGAGAAGGGTAGGAAGGAAAGTAAGTTCCCCCTCATTCTACCTTTTGTTTTATTCAAGCCTTTTAATTATGGGTTTTTTTTTTCTGTTTATGTACATGAGTAAAACTTATGTGTAATTTTACTTTCTTTCACTGTTTTTTTCTAGTTTTGAAACCCAGGTTATACTAACCTAAATAAATGAGTTAGGGAGTATATATCTTTTTGTATTCTCTTTAAAAGTTGTATCAAATTAGAATAATCTATTCTTTGCATGTTTGATACAAAATTACAGATGAGAAACATTTGCTTGGGTTTTGTTTGGGCTTTGATTTTTTACTGCTGATTTAATTTCTTTAAAATTTATAAAACTTATTCAGGTTTTTTATTTCTTTTTGAGTCAGCTTTGGCCATTTGTTTTTTTTGTTTTTTTAAGAAATTTATCCATTTCACCACAGTACCAACATATTTGGCATAACATTGATCATGGTATTTTGTTATTACCCATGATGTGTTATAGGTAATTTCCTCAGATCTGCTGTTCTGAACCCTAATTCCCTTTATAGCTGAATCTAGTCTGGTTAATTTTTTTTCATCCATATTGATTATTGTGGTAAAACATACATAACTTAAAATTTACCACTTATTTTTAACTGTACAATTGACTGGCATGAAATACATTCAAAATGCTGTGTTATCATCATCACTATTTATTTTAGAAGTTATTATCATCCCAGACAAACCCTCTACACATTAAGCAAAAACTCTCCAGTCCCCTTCTGTCCTTTTTTCTACTTCCTGTCTCTATGAATTTTCTTATTACGGATAACTCATAGGTGGCAGCATACAATATTTGTCATTTTTGTCTGGCTTATTTTAGTTAGCATACTGTTTTTAAAATTCATTCATGTAGGAGCATGTATCAGAACTTCTTTCCTTTTTATTGCTGAATAATATTTAGTTATACGTATGTATTTTGTTTATTCATTTGTTAATGGAGATTTGGGTTGTTTCTACCTTTTGACAATTCTGAATGATGTAGCTATGATCATTGGTGTACACATACCTGTTTGAATCCCTGTTTTCAATTTTCATTTCTTTGGAGGTATATACCCTTGAGCGGAATTGCCAGGTCAAAAGCTCATTCTGTGTTTGACATTTTCCAGAACCACCCAACTGTTTTTCCACTGTGGCTGTACCATTTTGAATTTTCTCTAGCAATGTACAGTGTTTCCAGTTTCTCTGTATCCTAGCCAGCGCTTTCCATTTGGTTGACAATAGCCATTCTTCTGGGTTTGAAGTAGCATCTCAGTGTGGTTTTGATTCGTATTTGTCTAATGACTGATGATATGAGGATCCTTTCGTTTGCTGTTGGCTACTTGTATATTTTCATTGGAGACATATCTATTCAAGCCTATTGCCCATTTTAAAATTGGTTTTTTTTTCCTTTATTGTTATAAGAGTTTATAAATATATTCTGGTGATTCATCTGATATATTATTTTCAAATATTTTCCTAGTAAGTGGGTTGTCTTTTCACTGTCTTGTCCTTTGATGTATAAAGGTTTGTAATTGTGATGAATTCCGATTTATTTATTTTTTCTTTTGTTGCCTGTTATTTTGGTGTCCTAGTTAAGAAACCCTTGCCAAATCCAAGGTCATGAAGATTTCCTGGTTTTATTTTAAGAGGTTTATAGTTTTAGCTTTTTAATTTAGGTCTTTGATCTATTTTGAGTTTATTTTTTTATATGGTACAAGGTAAGAATCCAACTTCATTCTTTTGCATGTGGATATCTTGTTTCCCTGCATCAGTTGTTGAAAAAACTGTCCCTTCCAAATTGGTTGTTCCTGGTACCCTTATTGAAAATCAGTCGTACATAATGCAAAATTTTATTTCTGGGCTCTCTATTCTGTTCCATTTGTCTCTCCTCATGCCAGCATTACATTTTTTGTTCTTTCACCCATAGCCTCGGGCAAGATAGCCAAAGTGCTTTCACACATACCAGATATCACTGACTTCATATTTGGTTCCTCAAACTGATCTCCTGCCTTGCTTGGGGTCCCAGCATTCTTTGCTACATCTTGAGTACAATGCCAGATGAAATCCAGATTATTGGCTACTATGAATAATTAGATGCCTTCAGAATAAATTTTTGCTCCAGGGCTCTGTATTCAGTGGAACTATATTTTCTCATCTTCTCAACCTTCTGTTTTATCTCCTACACTGATGGTTAAAGTAAACTTTAAATGTAATTTGTTAATATAGTATTGTGCATTTTCAAATGTGCTTTACCAGGAAGGGATTCTCTGCACATCTGGTCCACCATATGAAAGTTGAGAAAAGTACTTTTAAGTACTTTTAATAATCCATTCTTGACAATCTGTTGTATATAATTAGAAATGATAAATTATGGCATTTATATAAATTTTTCTAAGCAACTTTTCATTTTAATTACATTACTTGCTTAATTACATTGCATGCTTTTATAATTTTCTAAATGGCTATTAGTATGTTACTTTATTAGTACTTTGGGTATGGTAACATGATTTTCTAGTGGCCAATATTATGAAGTAGTTGTTAATATTTTCTATTTGAAATAGTAAATGCCCTTAAAAATGACTGCACAGATCAAGAAATAGCATAGCTAACACTGCATTCTCTTTGGAAGCTGTAGCTTGTGTGGGAGAGATGCAATTCTTTGTCCATAGAAAATTGTACATCCACTCTGGTTATTTGAGAGAACAATTTATACTTTATTAACAGATTATGATAATCAATATCTTTCACTCTTTGCCTTTGTTAGTTTTTAGTATTGGTATGCTTAATTTTTTTTTTTTTTTTTTGGCAGGTTTTCTTTAGGTGATGCTAGGAGGCCTCTTCATGAAACGGCAGTTTTGGTAGAAGACGTGGTACACACACAGTTAATTAATCTGGTAAGAGCACATATAATCTTATTTGATGTTTCTCCATTCTGCTTATATTGGGATTGTAACCCAATACTTGTTTTTAAAGATTGTATTTACATTTGAAATTCTTTATTTTGTCTGCTGGATTGAGGTGTAATTTACATAAAACAAAATTTTACCACTCTAAGTACATAATCCAGTGAGTTTTGACAACTGGATACTGTCCTGTGATTCTGAACACAATCATGGTATAGAACATTTTCATCATCCAAAAAAGTTCTCTTGTGTCCCCGGGCAGTTAGTCCTTTCCCCCCTTCCCTGACCCCCTGGTAACACTGAATTGTTTTCTATCACTATATAAGTACAATTTTTCTAAATTGCTTTTCAAAACTTTTCTGTATTTCATTTTAGACTTATAGAAGAACTGCACAAATAGTACATAGAATTCTCAGATACCTTTCATCTTCCTCTGTTAATATCTTAAGTAACCACAGTACAATTATCAAAATCAGGAAATAACGTTGGTATAATATTTTTAATGAAATTACTGACCTTATTCAATTTCCATCAGTTTTCTTTTTAATGTTCCTTTCCTGTCCCAGTATCTAGTCTGGGGTAACAATTCGTAATTAGCTATCTTGTCTTTGTAGTCGGCCCCTTTCTAGGATAATTCCTCCATCTTTCTTGTTTCATGGCCTTGACACCTTTTTAAACATACTAGACAGTTGTTTTATAGGATGCTCTTCCTTTTTCAATCTGTCTGATGTTTTCTTATGATTAGAACGTGGCTGTGCATTTTTGCCAAGAATACCACAGAAGTAATGAGTCTTTCTCAGTGTGTTGCATCAACATGGTCATGTTCTTGATGTTTTATTTGTGATTTTAACCTTGATAAATTGATTAAGGTGGTATATACGCTGAATTTTTTCACTGTAATGAAGTTAACAAGTTTCTTCATTTTGTAATAAATATCTTGGGGGAGGTATTTTGTGACTCTGCAAATATTTTTCTTCTCTAAAACTTTGTGCCTGTTTATTTTACCATTCATCAGTGGATCTTGTCTGAGACCATTATGACTGTTGGTATTTGCCTAATGGTGTTGTTCTGTTTCCTGCTTTCCTTTTATATTTTTTAATTGCAATTATTCTTAAAGGAATATCTATCCTTTATCACCATTTATTCAATTTTAATGTATATTTGTATGGACTAATGTATATTTAAATTTTATTCTTAAGATCATTATGCAGTAATATCATTATTTATTTTTATTGCTTAAGTTGTTATAGTGTTGGCCATTAGGAACACTGTCATGTCCTTTTCCCATTTGTCCATCAGGTTTTTGATCCTGTGTCCCATATATATTAGAGATATCAATCCTTTGTAGTATATGATACAAATACATTCTTTCAGTGTGTGAGTTATCTTTTGACTTTGATTTTATGACTTTTTTTAGACATACAAATATTTTAATTTCAACAGAGCCAAATATATCAATCTTTTATTGTCTTAGAATTTTGAAACATAGTTAAGAAAGTCTTACCTTATGCTGAATTTGAATAGGAATTCACCCATGTTGCCTTCTGAGACTTGTATGGTCTCCTTTTTAGGAGATTTAGGTCCTTAATCCATTTGTAGCTTATTCTTGTTATCATGTGAGATGTGTATCTAATTTTATCTTTATCCAAATGACTACCCAGTTATGCCATCATCATTTATTGAAAAGTCCACACTTTTCCTGATGATCTGAGATGCCTCCTTTATCATATACTAAATAAGCATATTTGGGATTTATTTATGATTTTATATTTATTGCCAGTGTCTTATTTTTCTATGCATGTGATAATACATTTTAAATTATATAGGTTTTATGGTGTATTTTAAAGATTATTACAACTAGACTCCTTGTAATTTTTCTTTGTGTGTGTTCCTGGTTATTCTTGTATGTTTATTTTTTTATCTGAATGTTAGTATTAGATTTTCCTAGCTCCATAAAATAGCTTTTTGGTGTCTTTATTGAAATTTCCTGAATTTATAAATCAGTTTAGAGAGAACTGCATCTTAAGAATGTTGACTCCCATCTAAGAATAGGGAATGTCTTTACCTTTTTTGAAAACCACTTTTGTGTCTTTCATGAGTGTTTTAACATTTTTTTTCTTTAGGCTTCACATAGTTATTACATTTATTCCTATGTATTTGATCTTTGTTACTACTACAAATGGAACATCTGAAACTGAAATACATAAATCTACAGATTCAAGGAGCTGAGCCAACTCCAAGCAGGGTAAACCCAAAGAAATGCATGTTAAACTGCTGAATACAAAAGACATAAATCCTAAAAGCACCCAGATTCATTACCATAAGGAAACAATGACTTGAAAGACAGCAGAATTTTCATTAGAAAACATGGAGACTAGGTCTAAAATGAGCCTCTTGTAGTCAGCATATAGATGGATTGTGTTTTTTTATCCATTCTCATACCCTATATCTTTTGATTGGTGCATTTACATTCAGAGTGATTATTGAGAGATCTGAATTTAGTGCCATTGTGTTACCTGTTGAGTTGGTATTTCTGGTTTTGTTTTCTGGCCCTTTCTAGTCTTTGTTGCTTTTGGTCGTTTTGTCTCCATTCACAGTCCCCATTAAAATTTCTTGCAGGGCTGGTTTAGTGGTCATGAACTCCTTTAGTTTATGTTTGGTAAACTCTTTATCTCTCTTTCTATTTTGAATGACAGCCTCGCTGAATAAAGAATTCTTGACTGCATATTTTTCCCATTCAGCACCTTGAATATTTCCTTCCACTCCTGTCTGGCTGGCCAAGTCTCTGTGGACAAATCTGCTATGAACCTGTCTTCCCCTGTAAGTTAAGGACCTTTATTCCCTTGCTGCATTGGCAAGCGAAGTCAAACTTTCACTATTTGCAGACGACATGATACTCTATGTAGAAAACCTGAAAGACTCCACCAAAAAAATTGCTAGAACTCATACATGAATTCAGCAAAGTCACAGGATATAAAATCAAGAAATCTGTTGCATTTCTATATAACAATAAATGAAGTATCAGAAAAAGAAATCAAGGAATTGATCTCATTTGCAGTTGCACCAAAACAATAAGATACCTAGGAATAAATCTAACTAAAGAAGTAAAAGATCTGTACTCTGAAAACTACGGAACACTTACGAAAGAAATTGAAGAGGACACAAAGAAATGGAAAAGCATTCCATGCTCAACGATTGGAAGAACAAACATTGATAAAATGGGCTACCCAAAGCAATCTACATATTTACATCAAAATGCCACCAGCATTTTTCACAGAGCTAGAACGAACAATCCTAAAATTTGTCTGGAACCACAAAAGACCCCAAATAGCCAAAGCAATTCTAAAAAAGAAAAACAAAACTGGAGGCATCACGATTCTGGATTTCAAGCTATACTACAAAGCTACAGTCATCAAGACAGTATGGTACTGGCACAAAAACAGACACACAGATCAATAGACTAGAGTAGACTACCAAGAAATGGACTCACAACTATATGGTCAACTAATCTTTGACAAAGCTGGAAAGAATATCCAATGGAAAAAAGACAGTCTCTTGAACAAATGGTGTTGGGAAAACTGTACAGCAACATGCAGGAGAATGAAACTGGATGACTTTCTTACACCATACACAAAAATAAATTCAAAATGGATTAAAGACCCAAATGTGAGACAGGAAACCATCAAAATCCTAGAGGAGAACATAGGCAGAAACCTCTTTGAACCTCATCCATAGGATCTTCTTATTAGACATGTTACCCCAGGCAAGGGAAACAAAAGCAAAAATGAACTATTGGGACTTCATTAAGATAAAAAGCTTCTGCACACCAAAGGAAACAATCAACAAAACTAAAAGGCAGTCTACAGAATGGGAGAAGATATTTGCAAACGGCATAACTGATAAAGGGTTAGTATCCAGAATCTACCAAGAACTTATCAAACTCAACACCCAAAAAAACCCAAATAACCCAGTTAAGAAATGGGCAGAAGACATGGATAGGCACTTTTCCAACAATGACATCCAGATGGCTAACAAACACATGAGATGGTGCTCAACATCACTCATCATCAGGGAAATACAAATCAAAACCATGATGAGATACCATCTTAACACTTGTCAGGATGGCTAAAATTAACACAAGAAACAACAGGTGTTGGCGAGGATGCAGAGAAAGGGGAACACTCTTGCACTATTGGTGGGAATGCAAACTTGTCCAGCCACTCTGGAGAACAGCGTGCAGGTTCCTCAAAATGTTAAAAATAGAACTACCCTATGATCCAGCAATTGCACTACTAGGTATTTACCCAAAGGATACAAAAATACAGATTCAAAGCGATACATGCACTCTGATGTATTATCAGCATTATCAACAATAGCCGAACTATGGAGAGAGCCCAAATGTCCATTGACTGATGAATGGATAAAGAAGATGTGGTGTATATATATATACAATGGAATATTACTCAGCCATCAAAAATGGAAATTTTGCCTTTTGCAACAATGACAGGAATGGAGCTACAATGTTTTATGCTAAGTGAAATAAGTCAGTCGAGAAAGACAAATACCATGGTAATATGATCTCTCACCCACATGTGAAATTTAAGAAAGAAAATAGATGAACATATGGGAAGGAGAAAAAGAAAAAAAGGAAAGAGAGAAACAAGCCATGAGAGACTCTGAACAATAGAGAACAAACAGGGTTGATGGAGGCAGGTGGGTGGCAAATGGGCTAGATGGGTGATGGGTATTAAGGAGGGCACTTGTGATGAGCACTGGGTGTTATATGTAAGTGAGGAATCACTGAATTCTACTTCAGAAACCAATATTGTACTGTATGTTAACTACCTGAAATTTAAATTTAAAAAATAATTTAAAAAAAAAGAAAACATGGAGACTAGAAGGAAATACAAGTTTTAAAGTACTGGGTAAAGAATTTTCAGTTGACAGCTATTTTTCTCTAACTCTATGTTCACATGGCCTTCTCTCCTTTG